GGATCCAGGAAGGCTTCCCAGAAGAGGTGACATCTCAGCTAAGTCTTGAAGGATGAATATGAAAGAATTGTCCAAGGAATGGAAGGAAATGAAAGGGTGTTCCTAGAAGGGGCAGGGTAAGGATGCAAAGAATCCATGGCATGACAGAGAATGATGACATTCTTGTGGAGCCAGGAGCTTAGGATACAGGGTAGGAAAGGGCCAGTAAGAAAGCTCAGAACGTAGACTACAGCCTGATAGCAAAGATTCAGATCTACTGAAGGACTTGGAAATTGATCTCCAAAGCAATGGGGTACCACTGGGGATGGTGGTAGGGGTAAGAAGGGGAGGGACATTGTCCAGATGATGTCAAGGGCTGACTCCGGTAGTTGTGTGGGGGATGGGCTGGGTAGGGGAGAAACTGGAGGGCTGCAGGCCAACAATTTACCCTAAGAGAGGAAGCCACTTTTACTCCCCATCCCTGTATTTGGCAATGAAAGTAGGTCCCCAGCAGGCAAGAAGTACCCCCAAAGCTGAGAGAGTTGACCTGACTCGACTAGTTCTCTAGGCTTGGGGACAGCAGCATGTGAGGGCATTCTTTGTTCCCTCTGCCCATCAGTGCTGCCTCAGGAGAAACCTCTCACCCAGGAAAACCAAGTACTGTATCATAAGTGCATTCTATCAAGCAAGCCTTTGCATACAGTATATGTGGAACTGTACACTTCTTTTGGCTTACACATCTTCCCTTCCTCTAGGACTGAGCAGCATCTGACACATAGTAGGTGCTCCATGAACATTTATCAGTCTGAAACAGAGACACTTCTACGGGATCTAGACTATTGCGCCTCCACTGCTGATCATAAATGAGACCCAGAGCACTGTGTTTTCTGACCAAAAATTGCCTAAAAATATTTAGTCAGAGACCTTAGATTTCAGTCTTGGTTCAGCTACTCAAGAGCTCTGTGGTTGTGGGCAAGCCACAGTAACCTTGCTTATCTATTAAAAAAAAAAAAGAAAACAAGAAAACACCAAAATGTTCTAAAGTATGAGGGTGCATCTGGAAGCCCTTTGCAAACTCTAAAGTACTAAATGACCAAAATGTGGTATATTTATACAATGGAATAATATTCAGCCATAAAAAGGAATGAAGTACTGATACATTCTATGACATGGATGCACCTTGAAAACTTAATGCTAAGTGAAAGAAGCCAGACACAAAGGCCATATATCTATGATTCCATTTATATGAAAAGTCCAGAATAGGCAAATCCATAGAGACAGAAAGCAGATTAGTGGTTTCCAGAGGCTGGAGAAGAGAATGGATTTCGAGTGCTTAATGGGTATGTGATTTCTTTTTGGAGTGATGAAAATGTTTTGAAACTAGATAGTGGTGACGGTTGAACATTATGATTGTTCTAAATGCCACTGGATTGTACACTTTAAAATCGTTAAAATGGTAAATTTTATGTGTGTGTGTATTTTACCACAGTAAAAAAAAGCAATAAAAGTGTTATACGGGCCGGCACGTGGTTCACTTGGGAGAGTGTGGTGCTGATGGCACCAAGGCCACGGGTTCGGATCCCTGTATAGGGATGGCTGGTTCGCTCACTTGGGTGAGCGTGGTGCTGACAACACCAAGTCAAGGGTTAAGATCCCCTTACCGGTCATCTTAAAAAAAAAAAAAAAGTGTTATACAGGGATTGATCAGCCTGAGAAGTTGTTGACTCTTGCCTTCTACATGCAGCCTCCAATCCATTTTCTGGCTTTCCAAGAACTTACAAGAAGCAGGTGCATCACCACTAAGGGCATCTTTTGAAGAGACTGGTTGGGGGTGGGGGGAGGGAAGAAGGAACTATGGGCCATCTGAAAATCATCCTTTCTGGATGGTATTTGTTGCATAGATTGCCAGTTGTTCACCCTGTTTGTGTTTAAATGAAAGGAGGCTTTGAAGTGAGAGCTGCAGCTGAGCAGGGTTTGGGGTTCCTGCCTCCCATGGTAAAGTTCAGACTTGTCCAGATGTGTCTGTAGACAGAGGTTACTGTTTCTGGTGGAAGAGACTCAAGTTTTGGTTAATAATAATACATTAAGAGGAAGAGCAGGAGTAAATGGGGGAGGGGGGCAAGGGATGAGCTCCTCCTGCACTTTCCGATTTGGGCTTCATGATTTAGGAGTACTGTTTTTTATGTTATGGTCACTAGATTCCACTTTATTATTAATGTTGGTTGAATCTCAGATCATATTCTCCTTGGTGAAGAACGTCTTTAAGTAAATACATCAATCAATGAAACTTGAAAGTACTGGGCTAAGCTCTAGCAATGCCTTGAGGACCTGATGGTTATCAGTTTAAGGAAAACCTGGACTATTTGAAAGTCCCTTAAAAATGGCAGGAAATTCTATTGTAGTTGAGTTTGCATATTTAGCAAAACTGTGTTCCTAGTTTCAGAGTTAACCCACAGAAATTAGAAGTCCCAGTTACAGATGGATCATGATCTGTTCATGATGATGGGAGAGTTAAAACATTGAAGAAAAGTCTGCAGTGGGCATTCAGAACAACAGCTACGCTGGTTTCTACAGCTCCTCGTAGCCAACCATCAACGTGGTTTACAAACAACAGTGGAAGAAGTCTCCACAAACTCTCGGAGAGTGATAATTGTAATGACGGCTCCTATCTTCACCCTATGTAATTTTATGGGAATTGAGAGTCTAGCCAAATAATAAGTTTCAGCCCTTTTTTATCTGCTCAGTTCCCAGCACACTCCCGGGGTGTCTGAAGCACTTCTCACCCTAACCTCTTAAAGCAGATTGTAACAATAACAACTGTAATGATAAGTTCCCAATCTGCACAGTTCCCTTCATTAAAGGAGCCCTGGGAGTTTCAAAAACACTCATTAATGGAATCTGACAAAGCTTGAAAGGTGGAAAGACTTGTCCCCTTCCAGTTTTCTGGTGGCTAAGTGGAGGCTGGGTCCCAGAGGAGTATCAGCCTATCTTAAGAAGCTTGAGGGGAGAGGGGGATTGGGGATCCTGGGTTACCATTATTCCACGTGTCCAGGAAGTCAAGAGTCCCGGGTTCTGGACCCTTCCCCCCCCCCCCCCCCCCCCCCCCCCCCCCCCCCCCCCCCCCCCCCCCCCCCCCCCCCCCCCCCCCCCCCCCCCCCCCCCCCCCCCCCCCCCCC